ACGATCCACAATCTGCACGATTCTTCACATCATACTCAACCTCGTTCAATAACTGTTAAATTCTATCCTAATCTCTCTACCGTATATGTTAGTTAGGGTTCTGACCGGCTCTGTGTAAGAAAGCAGACTCTTTTTGAGGATTTTGTTTATTTGCCGTCCTTTTCTTACGAGTGAAGCGAATTGTGGGACTGGAAGAGGAGTTGACCCACTTAAGCCATATCACTGAATGGTGATCAAGAATGAAAATACTGATTCCCCGCGACAGTTTTCTCCAATTGATCTGATAGAGCGGTTTTCATTTGAGTGTCGAAAAGTAATTGGTTTTGCACTTTCTACACGATGCGATTGGCTTAAAAGATTCGCGCCACCTTTTCATCCAATCAGAAGTAAAACCAAAGCCAAATGTGACGCGCTCGCATGCATTTTCCCGCGCTTTGCGTCAGCCACATTTAATTACTTCGAGTTTTGATTGGTTCAATGTATTGTCTGTGTCCTATGTGATTGGCTAGAGTAATTACTTTGGTTTTGGTTTTACGACACTCAAACGAAAACCACTCTAAAAAAGGGATTTTTACTAACCGGGGGCGCCATCAAGTATAAGGTCTGTTACATGAAAAGGGAAACGGCCAACCTCCGCAGAATTAAGATTCCTTCTAATTGTGTTGTCGACTAGCACCTTATGGTCACAGGCTTGGCTATTAAAACACTCATGTGACCGAAAAAAGGAGTGCCCTCAGTTTAATTATCCAAAGAAGAATTCGAAACTTCGGAAAGGCCTAACATGGTAACAAATTTGAGGAGAGGTGGGGTATATAGCTCGACCCCAGCGACGGGAACTCAACCTGAAAATGGCGGAGATGCTAGTCAACTCGCACGCCTAGAGGTAGAAATTACTACAGGTTTTGGGTTTTAATTAGGGTATTCAAGACGAGAAGCCAATATTTTTGCCCATATGGGTATTTTTTTTAAGGATGTGCGTAAATTAAGAAGTAGCTTAATGGAAGACCCTGACTGAAAAAAAAAATTGCCTCTGAGCAGAGCCAAGACTGGTCTCGGTTTTCACTCACGTGAGAAAGCAGAAATAAGAATGAAAACCTTTTAATACAGAAAGTCTAGAATCTGGGAAATGAAAGAAGATAAATATACAAAAAGCCTTGCCAAGAATCAGGTCTATGAAATAGTTCATATGAGAGATAGTCGGAAAAACGTTTTACCCAAATTTATAAAGCTTTGTATGGAGGCCCCATGTTTGTGTCCCTTCCAGGGGCACAAATATGGCCGCCGGAAACTAACAGAAACATCTGTTTTTGAGTTTTCCTACTTATGCGTGAATTCTTCGCTTGAGGAACTCATAAAGCTTAAAGGAATATTTATTCTAAGACAAGGAATGTTTAGATAGCAAAATCTCCAAAAATCCGCAATGTTTTTAACCCACATAAGAGCTTTCTTGGCCGCGCGCTAAATGCCGCGTCACGCAAAAGCCTGGAAATTCAAGCGTCGTGTATCGCAAAACGAAGAATCCTTTTGAACTGAAAATTTGTTTGTATAAAAGTTTTAAGAGTTTTAAGGTGTTCTAATATCACATGAAAGTAGAAACTCAGAAGAAGCGACAGTTTCTTAGTTTGAATTTTGGTGACATCATGTGAAAGCCGAGAATAGGGAAGACTTGGAACTGATTAAACTCGAACAAGCTACAAAATTTTGTTCTTCGGCTGCAACAGTTTTTTTCGCGTGGCCGGGGGCCTATACCTTATCGTTGATTACAACAAGTGTTTTGAGCGACAAAATAAAAGAAAAGAAATACTTCTTCGTATACAAAACCTTAAAAACATTAGTGTACTCAGAAGAGCTCTTGGTATACTTTAATTGTCTTTTCTTTATCACTTTGAAGTTTATTTTCTTCTAAACGAAAAAAAGGGAGTACTCAGGTATATTACAAAGACTACAAAGTAAATAAACACGTCGGAAAGAAAACTGGTGCAAGTGTCAAGCTTACCTATCTTTTGAAAAATATGTTGTCTCGTGACAATGGTAAAATAAAGTTTGGATTATGTATCTTAAATTTATGTTATTAGAATTTTGTAGAAAAAAATACGCTTTTTTTTCTCACGCTTTTTTCCTGAAATGATTTGTTGGTATCTCCTGGTGTCTGGCAAAATCTTTTCTTTGTTAGACCCCTAAACCTGAGTTCCAAAGTTCGTGAACTTAAACAGGCTTTGAGCTAGAATGCATAATGCATCCAGGCCAATACAATTCAGGAAATACGAAAGTAACTTCCGAAAACCTTGCATTTCATTTTCCAGTAAAAGCATGACCACGATTGCTGAGCGAACGTCACGCACAAAAACTCACAAACAATTTCTGGATCATGTGCTTTTGATTTTTGAGTTGGTAAAATATCAGTTTCTGATCAATGACTTTTCATGACTGGGCGACTGTGGTTCCGCACGCTTTCACTTAAGGTGATTCCATAGTAAAAGAACCTAACATAGATTTTAGCTAAAACTTGGTACACTGATGTAACAAGTCAAGAAGATGATAAAAAAGTAATAAAAAGTGGAGGTCACCGTGCTCGTTTTGACGTCACAATGCTGACAAATACGGCTATTTAGGACCCTTTTACAAAAACCGCGGGCAGCGCAAAACTAGACAAAAAGGAGAAATTTTTTCGATGATGCATGTGACATCACACAGAATTTGACTTTAATGTATTGTTTATCCGCTTACGTACCAGAAAAATGCCTTTTAATGCCCTTGTTTTTACTTTACGCTCCAAAGTAGAATTAAATTGGACGCGCGCTTTTCGACCTGTGATGGGTCAATCCGTACAATTTAGTAAAATTGCCAAAAAACTGAACATAGATTTGTGCCAATTTTTTTCTCATCGAAAGGAAGCACTGTCCTTATTAAAATCATGAAATAAAAAATGGGGGTCACCGTACTCGTTTTTGCGGTAGAGCTGCAGAAAGTGCGCACCAAACGCATTTTCTCCGATTTTTGAGAGAGGACTGGGGCGAGTTTCAAAATAGAATGTATGTGAAAGGGGGAAGAAAGTATTAAAAAATCCGTTTTAACAGAATTTACATCGAGATATCACATTTAGGACACAATGTGATAAAGAAAGTGTTTAAATGAAAATCAAAGTGAGTAAGCACAAGTTAAACATCCACTATCGAGGTTCTCCGAGAGGAGGTCGAACTCAGCCACACGCGTACTGCTTACGTTATGCACATTCCCAACACACTGAGTCTCACCTTGGCAAGAAACAACAGCAAGCAAAAATTCCAATAGCGTTTCTTTTCAGTCAACTCCATTTTAATAATATTACTTCACATGCTCTTTTTTACGGCGGCCATCTTGTTATGCGCAGTAAGAGATGCGCAGTGCAAAACTAGGGAATCACCTTAAGGGCAATATATACACTTTCAAATTTGTTGACGTGTTTTTAGAACTGTTTCCATCACGTAAAAACTACTGGTGTAGTGGTCGCATGCAAAAACTCGGTCAGCATCTTTTGCATGAAAGATACAGCACCAATACAGGGGGATCTTTATTAGTTTTGTGTATTTTTTCCAATTCTCAGTGCCGGAGTACTCAGTTGAATGCAAATTTTAATGAATTACAACATACAAGCATTCACTATCAGCACATTTTAAGTATAATCATGTAGGGTAGTAATAAATCAGGTTATTGACTTCTATGGGTATGTGGAGAGTCGATTTGAAAGATATTTTTTCCTACACGACATTCAATCTCTTTTCTTTGATCGCACTGGTACGTGGTCCAAGCTCGAAATAGAACCATCGGCATTATTGCGTCGGTAGACCTACAAAATATAAGGCTTTGCATGAAAAATAGAAAAGAATAAATAAAAATTAACGATTGTTTCTCGACCTTTCTCTTTCTGTAACATTCGAATGTGGAAGGATTTAAACAACAGTTGGCTTTTCTCATTAAGTTGTGTGTTTCCTCTTTCTTGTGTGGTCTCCGAGCCGATTTTGGTTCTGTTTATATGAAGAGGCGAGATCTCTGCTCGAACAACCTACTCTCTCACTGTAACGGAAGGTTTTTTCCACTTGAAAACGAATTTAAGGCTCAACGAAAGGTTGGCTCAACGGGAATTCGTTGCTTAGCTCTCAATAAAACTGGGGGCTCAAACCACCTACTGGTACAGCAGTTTATTGAACTTCAATTTTTTTTTACAGGGATGATTAGGCTGGCTTGCAAATAGCGCAGCAAGCCAGACTGTACTGAGATAACTTTCTTATATAGATATACATTCTATCATGCAGAAAATACACATCAACATAAAACTTTGTGCAACATATGCACGCTAGACTTCATAAGTATAAAGAAACAAACAAACAAACAAAAATAAGTAAAATAAAAAACAAACAAACAAACAAAAACAAAAACTGAATAAGATGGCAACACGGAAATAAACGGTGTAATTGAATAAAAGCAACGGACAATTAGTTTTGATTGCTGAATAACATTGTTGGCTAGCTTTTCTACGATTATTAATTCACGATCACACTGAAGTACTTTAGATAGAGGAGGGGCTGGAGCCTTTTGCGGAGCTAAAACACCTCAATGCAAATTCAGTGTAAATTACTAAAATAACGTCAAAGCGAATATTTGAAATCTGGCTAAAGCTAGATATAAACTTTGAGCCAGATAGAGAATAGTCGGAATATCTCTCCTTACACCACCCTGGCGTTTTTAGGGGAGTCGTATTAAATACGGCTCCCGTAAAAACGACTGCGTGCAAGGCTACATGGGATCTCGGAAGCGACGCCTGCCCGCCATCTCATATCAACACAACAAAAATTTTATGAGGAAACAAGGTTTGAGCCCAGTTTACCGGGCGAGCCGGCTAACCCGGCTGGCATCCCTCATATCTTTATCTTAGGGTAGAGTTCGACTCTGACTAGGGGTCAGGCATGGATAATAGAAAGACCACGAGGTGGCGTACCCTTGAAGTGTGGTCACGTGACAGTGTTGAGATTCTGAGAAAGCAGTGATCTTTCTTGGAATCGGAATATGTACTGTATGTTTTTATGCTTCACAAAACTTTTTTCGCCACCGGGACACCGACTTATTAGCTCATTGTGCATTGTCCGTATTCATCGATAAAATCCGTCTACACAAAGTCCTCGCAAAGGATAAAGGTACTTTTAAAAGTGTTAAAGAATAATTGAGCACGCGGGAAGTTTGGAGTGCACGAAAGAGTGACGAAAGAGGCGTACAAAAAAATAAGTTGCTGGAGGACCCTAGCCTCTTGAATGCTCTCCAAACGTCCCAAGTGCTCAATATCTCGACATAGGCACAGCTGAAGCATGAACTAATTGTTTTATAACATTATCAAAGCGATCAATGCAGCAGTTATCTTAAATTTTTATTATTGTAGCGCGCGCTCTAAATAGTACGCGTCAATGTCTACGTGACTCTTCTTTTTTTACCTCACAATTATATCTTGAAACTGAGAGTCGCTAAAGATAACATTAAAAAAGATTGCAAAATCCATGACTAAGGTGCCGGAAAACTATTAATCCACGGTAAAATTCTTAAAAAAAAAATCAACAACAACAACTTTGCAAAGAGTGATTTGCACACGCTATAGCCTGCACAGCTCGCGCAGATGACAACGACAACTACAATCACTTCTTTTCCCTACTCTCGGTTAGCAAATTCAAAAGTTTTATTATAAATTTACGTCATAAAACACATTGTAAACTAAACGCTTCATCGTTTTCAGTATGTGCACTTGGCCTTTTGCATTAGTTGATCACGTGATCAACTTTCGGTAAACACGAAAACAGTTCGCTTTTGAACATGTTGAAAAATTTTGTTTGCACGAGCTGAAAGAGCACATTAGAATTTGAAAACGTGTGAATTTTCAGCCGAATATCTCAAAAGTAGCAATAGCAACGGCCGCCGAAAATCAGAAGTATTTGAATAAGAAAAACAACTTGTGCCACCTACTCACGCTTGAATGGTTTTCCATACAAATCCTTGTAAATTTCGAAATTTTCAAGCGCTACTTTTGAGATTTACGGCTGAAAATATACAGGTTAACCAGTTTTAATATTCTCTTTCAGTTCGTGTTAACAACAGCTTCAAAAGCGAACTGTTTTTGTATTTACCAAAAGGCCTCTTGGGGATTGCTAAGCTTACTGACAAGAACTCGAGAATTGACGCCATCAGCGTGCTCATCGAGAATACAAGTAACACGCTCGCGCTATTGAATTTGATTGGGTGAATTTTCTAGCCATCTATAAAGCGTGATAGTGGTGTGGTTCATACCACGGAATGTCAAACCGATTTTTGATCCCCTATCTGAGTTAAGGAAGGTTTATTAGTCTTATAATTATTCAGGAAAATATTTTGCACTATAAGTATTAGTTTTTATGTAATAACTAAGATAGTACGCGCGCTCTGATTTGCCGAGGGGAGAGTTTGCATGAGAGTTTGTAAACATGGTTTTGACGTTGAGATGTTTTGCTTTTCGCGCGCTCATCAGGCAAACACGAACTCGACAAGTTTATACTTTATTTACCCAATCCTTGGTCGGCTGAAACTTGGAAAATCTTTACAAACAAGCTGTGACATCTTTTTCCGCTTAAGCTGACATTTTAAGCGAGAAAAATCAGTATGTTGGAAATCATCTTTTTGCAAAACAAGAACTGATCACGTGTGCAAGACTCCGTGTATGAGACTTTGTGACTGGTAAGAATTTCTCTTTTAATCAGTGCCATTACAAAGAGTTTTGCGTTTTTTCTCGTGAAAGTTATTTTATAAAAGCAACGGAAAATTCTCAACAGTTATACAAACCCTCGACTTCGTCTCGGGTTTGCATAACTGTCTCGAATTCTCCCAAACCCTCGAGTGTTTATATCAGGCTATGCAAATACGGAAAAGTTTTCTATTGCTTAAATGGTATAATTTATTATTCATTCAAACTATTTCCCCGATTCTGATTGCTAAAAGCACACGCATAATTCACCATAACCAGCTACTGATGACCAAATTTGGAAGAATGTTGCGATTAATCAACCGATGACGTCAAAAGTGCAGCTTCCTTGCAGGTTAATGCACCGTTAACCGAGAAGACCTGGGGACGAGGTTGAGTTGGTTTGGTTGAGAAAACAAAAACGGCAAACATTTCACTCATTTCAAGAGTAAGAACTAGGCGAGATAATAGCTAAAATCATGGCAAGAACAGCAAGAAGACAACTCGAAGGGCGACATCTAGATCTGCTACTTGGAGAATTTTTGCGGAGCTGAACAATCCTAAACGTGCACTGTCGAAGATGAACTTAACATCGATGTAGGTAAGCTTGTTTTAGGCTTTAGCTATGTTTATAAACTCAGAATTATTTTGAATGAATAATAAAACAATTATTGAATTCGACTTTCGTATCGTATGAAGAATTATGAAGATGTCGGAGGGTGTTATCCGCCTGGTCTACGGCCTCGACGGATAACACCCTCCTCGATCTCTATAATTTTTCATAAGATACTCAGCCTCATTCATTAATTAATTGCCTAATTTCATACCGCGCGGGAGCCTGGAACTACCGGATTTTCCCGGACTTTTTAAATTCCTGATTCAAATTGTTTCCTATAAACAGGAGGTAAAGCAAATATCACTGCGTGCAGTTGAAACGATAGTAACAGCCAAAGCCAGATAACTCCAGAAAGTTAATATTCACAGCAAAGAACAGTTTTTTTAATGCTACAAAGAACTTCGATTAAAAGAAAGATCTAATCGGAGACTTTTGCTACTTGGAAGTATTGGAAGGATTCCTGAATTGTTGGACAAAAAATTTGAACAAGGAACCGTAGATTTTAGCTTTTTTACGGCGCTGGATCCGACCGAATATTGGGGAGTGATATGGGAGTGGGTGTACCTGTCTTTACAAACCGTAAAATATAGACTTCCAAAAAGCGAAACTCGCCAGAGTGACACTGAGTGAAAGGGCAACATCGTATTACGTCCTCAAGGCTTACATTAGGTTTTCTCCCTGTCCCTGCGTACGGTCTCAGTAGAAATCCTAAAGATCAGGTCGGAAACAATTCTCACTGAACATAGATAAAGGCAAGTATAGTTCAGTCTCACTTGAGAGGCATTTCTCGTCCGGTAACACTGCAGTTCCTGTGACCAGACCTGATGCATTGAGCAATGTTATAATACACAAGTAATTTTTCTCAGGGGGATAAATTGCGTATAGCTTTTTTGTGAGGCCTCTGCGTGTGCCATTCTGTTCCTTTCAGTGACATTGCAAGTAATTTACTCAAGACTGTATAAATTCAGGGATAAAATGTCAAATGGCAATGGCTTACAAGGGCTCGCTTGTTGAGCTACCTCTTTTTGGAACTTATTGGGTCTAGGAGCATGTTTGCAATTTGGGCAATCACCTTGTAATTACAGTCAACAATATCACGTACATCTACCTTTTGGCTAGCATGCACTAGGTATAGACTAGTCCCTTATTCTCCCTGCATGTGATTTAAGAACACTAGGTTTAACATACATAACGCCACAAAGTTCACTACACGCAGCACCTTTCACGTGGACATTTAATACTCTTTTCCGCGACGGGAATAATCCAGGTACGCCCTTTTAAGGGTGCAAAGAAAGTATTTTTACAGCTTGCCATTCGGGCAAGCTGAAGCTAGCATTTACTAGTCCAAACGTCATTTCAATTAGCCCCCCAAATTTTTTAATGAGCAGAATTGATTTCACAGTTCTTCTGTAAGACGAATTCCTCAAAATACTTCACTTACCCGTCGGGCAAGTTACGAACAGAATTCACTAGCCCGATGGCAAAATCCACTAGCCCTGGGCTATCTGCGGACACTACTTTCTTTGCATGCTGCTTTTTGTACAGCACTGCTCTTTAAGTTTTGCTCCAGCATACTTAGGTTACGATCGGTACTTACACAATCACATCTGTGTTCTTGCCAATGATCTCCCGTGACTTAACAGATGCGAATAGAATTAAACAGAGGATCTTTTGCTATAGAAAATTTATAATCACCTGTGGTTCGAGCGGACCTGTTCATCGAACAATTGCTTGCACTTGCTGAGTGTCGGCTCTTTAAGTCTAACTTCAGGGCATGAAAGAAATACTGCATCCTTTTGTTACTAAGCCTAGGCAGATTCTCCAAGGGAATATTGATCAATATTTCTTCGAAAAAAAATGCTTTCGTTCGAGTTTTTATTCTGACTATCCGCCATTTTGAAACTGGACTTTTTAAAAACTCCGGGAAAATCCGGTAGTGCGAGGCCCCCGCCCGGCATGAAGTTAGGCAATAAAATATCGTAGATCGACCCTTCAAATCTCAAAAGCATTTTCTTTGATTGAGGTCACCATTGAAGCGAAATACTTGCCATCCAAGATAAAACGAATAGGGGACACAAACATTACTCTCTGATCCGGCGAGGGGGTAGTGGGATAGTATTTTAACATACCCATTTTTTCCTCATAAGATACCAATTGGATTGTAAAATCTTTGATACCGAATGGCTAAAATTGCTTTCAAACAGAATACCTAAAAATGATTTGTCGGATTTTTGACAGGTAACACAACCAGATACAGTGTATAACTTTTGGTGCACTGAAGTTGGTCGAGCTTTTTTCATTCCCTCCGGCCCTTTGCCAGCCCCTGGATTAAACTTCTGGCCCCGGTTGTTCAAAAGCTGGATAGCGTTATACGCCAGATAAACCACTATCCAGCGGATAAGTACTTGGGAAACCAATTGCGTTATCCACTGGATAGAGATTTATCTATCAGATAGCGCTATTAGCATTGTTAGCATTTATAGAACTGAAAATAAGACAAACAAATTGAAATTTCTCAATATGTCTTGTGTTTGCCTTTTGTCATAAAGTGTCATGTTCCCGGGGGGAACTCCCATAAGAAAGGGGTGGGGATGCTCGCCTTCTCGCTTAGGGATGTAAATTTCGGATTTTGGTCTCACTTAGGGTGTTCTAGGCAAAATCTGTTTTATGTGCAAGCATAGTTAGTAAAGTGGAATGGTTATTAACCCGTTAGGCTCCTCTGTTACATCATTTTGTTGGCCTTTTTGGATAGCTTTCCTATTGTTTTTAACTTCCTGGCTAATAGGATCAACGTCACACTAATTTATTCAGTCACAATTTGTGAACAAAAAGCAAAGGATTGTGTCCGGTCAGGGAGCTTCCAGCATAAAACAGCACTGTTGTTTTCAACTTTGATGCTTGCTGGCTTTCATAACTTGAGTCTTCTTTACTAACTGTGGTGCAAGGTGGTGGTAAAAGAGGTTTTCGATATAAGAAAATAAAGAGCTCAAAGAAAGTCTTGTCCAGTCTTCCTGGACAAGTAGATTTTTTTGCTGGGCCAGTAACTTTCTAGGCCCACTTTCTAAATGCACAAGTGTTCAGGTACATGTGTAAACTGAATCATCAACTAAGACTAGCAAGCAATGGTGCCTAAGCTTAATTGTTATTGCTTGCTTAAGTGCAAAGGGAGAGCTGGCCCCGGTTGTTCAAACGTCGCATAGCGCTATCCAAATAGCGCTATCCAACGTTTGAACAACCGGGACTTGGAATGCCAGTTTTTTCAAACATTCAAATAATATTGATTTATACAAGGGAGGTTTGTTTTATCGAGGTTCTGCTGTACATAAGTTTGTGTGACGCTTGTTTCTTTCTGGCTCAATGTTGTAAACTCCTTCTAACATGCCTAACTCCAGTGAATGAATGTATTTTCTCCTTTAATAGACACATGTATACTGATTCATAATGGAGGTGTTATTATCTGATTAAACACTGAAGAGAACCATGTCTGACATTGGTAAGAACAAATATGCCAAGCTAAAAATAAAGTTGTACCTGCTGCAGGGCACCTTGTAAGAAGAAGACAACTTCCCACTTTTCCTTTTAGTTTTGCCTAGCAGCTGAGTCTTGAAAAAGCTTTAATTTTTTTTTCATAAAAGTTGCTCAAAGTTTCATAGCTATTGAACTTGGCAGAAAAGACTCATAACCCATAAATTCCAGGAACCCTACGGTAGGAAACATGTTTATTTAAAATCTTATAATAAGGTGATTTTTTTTAATTAAGACGTTTCTCCTCTAGGATTTATGGCTTGTGAAAGTGGTAGTTCAGTTGATGCTGAAGTTTTTCAGGATCTAAACCACACTTCAGAAGGTATGTGGGTTAATTTTGAAAAAAGAGCGAATCCACCGTTATCGAAGGCATACATGGGCATTTTGGTCATTAGAATCTGAGAGGTCCTGTACTACGTATTATTCGCGTGGGTCCTGACAAGCGAACCATTTTAGCCGACTTACCGTCTTCTGCTTTTCTGGTGGAATTCTTTTCCTTTCCTTCCACTGCCGATATTGTGCTTTGATTTGGTCCAAGCGCTTTTCTATTTCACAAGCGAATGTTTTGCAACAGCGATCACAGTTGCTTATTTAGAGTGGTACCTTAGCTTTCTTTGCTCTATATTTCTTCATTTATTACCGTCTTTATTACAGTCCCATATTTACGAAACCTTGTTCTCCATACAAGTTTAGGAGCAGCAACAACGCCTGCACTCGCTTTCACATTGAAACTCCTAGTTTAACCTGCTTAACTCAATAACCTTACTGACAAAGGCGATTGTCGCAGGCAATCCTGACATACCTGGATCACTCCTAATGCAGAATAGCAAACTTTTTCCCTTTCCCAAGACATTATAGCTTTAATTTTTTTTGTTCAATTCTGAAATGTATTTTTTCTTATTTTCATTCAAACGTGATTTAATTCTATTGTATTTTTGTTTTACCACAGTATATTATTTTTTTAATTTAGAATTTTTTCACTTTTAAATCATTTCGCCGGTTGAAGATTGCAGATAGGGTGGTCGAAAGAAGAATCGAGAGAATGTTTTTTGATATTTTAATATGGTTTGGTGGGGCTGCCACCCGTCTTTTTTCAACCTTGCGATCGTTTTATGATTTTCTATGTAAGTCTGACTAACTCGCTAGGAGCTTTCCTCGCTCAAGAAAGCAGCTTGCTAACCATTATACGCTTACATCCTGCAGGTGAAATGTCTGATCAAGAAACTTTCCCATTCGTGGTCAATTATTACACATCCGGAGAGACAAAATGTACCTTCCAGTTGAGGAACGTAGATGACGACGAGAACTATTCCCCCTTTCTTGACCTGCTATCGGAAATCGTCGACGCCTTTATCACCCGGAAAACCAAGAAGTTTTGTAAATTCCTCAATCCTTCACCGGATTTAAAAAAAGATCTGCAAGATTTGAACAGGAAGCGCAAAGGATGGCTGTTCGAAGTTGATGACGATGCTTTGCTGCAAAAGCTACGTGATAAAATTACCAGCTCGGTCAAAGAACTCATTTGTCCTTACCCAGCACATGGAAAAATTGCTAGCTTAGACGTTACGGTCCAAGACGATTTTGACCCCTCAGGAGAACTTCAGAAAGTCATCGAGACTAACGCTGCTGAGTTTTCTTATTCCGAGTCTGAAGCTGGTGAAGATACAAGTATCGAAGAAGAGAAAGATGACTGCGTGGTAGATGAAAACCATCCAGACGAAGGGAAAGAAATTGATGATGCGACGATTTCAAATCCTGAAAAACCATGCTATTTTCCAACACAGATTGAAATGGCTGCAATCCTTAAGCAGCGAATAGAGGCCATAATGGAGTATTATCACGGAATCGCGAAACTCAGTGAGGCTTTTGATGATATTGACTTCACAGTCTACACAGCTCGGTACCGCATGCTTAGCGATCAGACCGAGCAAAGGATCTGTCACCCAGACGCTGGCGTCCTATCAGAAGAGGAACTGACGTCACACAAAGGGGGCAATGGAAAGAAGAGAATGTTTATGTATGGTCACGGCGAGGATGCTGACATGCACTTTGAACAACTCAAGAAAGAGGTCCTAGAAAAGCCCAAAACCCTCTTCATCATTATTGCAGACGAGTGCCACTGGGGAATCACTAAAGACAAGGACCAAAAGTCATCCGCACATAATCTGTTCATCAATAAATGGTGCGAGGAATCACCCAGAAATGTCGTTGTAGTTCAAATCTCCGCAACACCTTTCAACCTACTAACTCAAGACTCTCGCATTCCTGAAGTCCGTTGTCTTGCTCTCCATGACAAATTAACTACCACTCGAAAAACGTACGAGGCAGGGGATCTCTTAGTCGAAGAAAGTGAGCCTGAGATTGAAGATCGTATCAAAGAAACGACTAAGGAAGTAGAGCTTCACGTCGTCCACTGGTCAGAAGTCGAGGTAAAGAACTTTGAAAGGGGAATGCGAATGAAACTCAAGTCAACATTATCAGAGAAAGGCTTACGCTTTTTACACCGTCACGTCTTGCCAGATGCAAAACTCAATGAATCGCCTGAAGAGGGTGATTCTCTGTCTGCATACCTTCAAGTATTGCCAGATGGTAACCTGCAGGTAACGCCTGAAGAGACCGATGCCACGGTTTTTGAGGTACAAGGCAGCCACGGTATCGTTACAATTAAAGCCGTGGTAAGCGAAGAGAAAGTGTTAACCTTAACTAAGGATGATAGCGGTTCATTAAAGGCTATGGATAACCCGTCGCAGCCTACAAAGTTTAGAGTAAGGCTCGATTATGGCGTCGGAGTTGTTGCGTTTGTTTGCTCTGATAGATTAGATCTATATTTGACAGTTAATGAACTTGGCCACGTCCAACTGCAACCAGCTAAAGTGGAAAGAAAATGTGGAGTTGCCATCACGAAATCCAGGAATGACTTGGGTGAAGTGTCTTTCGAGTTCTATATGGTAAAGTGTGGGCCAAAAGAAGTGGACATGGTTGGACGGCAGTACGTGAGCTTGAACTACTACCTTAGTACAATGAACAGCAAAGAACAAAAGATACGCGAAGACAAGTACTTTCAAGAGATTGTGAAGAAAGCGAGAGTTCAAAAGAAGGTGCAGAAAATCGACTCATCGTCCTTTACGACTGACGCCATGCTTTGCGCCGAGTACTGCTACTACCTTCTCCACATGAACACATACGACAGCGATGAAAATGTACGACAGCTACTCACCACAGATATGCACGAATCTCCCTCTGCTCAGTTTTGTAAGACATTCGAGTCCTTTGTGAGAAACCTCAAGGAAGACACAAGGTGCATTGATCCGGAAGTATTTGAGTGGGTTCAAAAAGAACTTTGCGAGAAGGTCAAGGACGATTTCAAGAATGACTTTGTAGCGCTGCATAATAGCAAATCATTTAATGATGATGGCTTAGAATTCAAGAAACGCAAAGAGGAGCTGGTCAATTCTTTTGTCGCCTGTTTGATGCATCTCTCGCCTCAGGAACTGCGAGACTTACAAGAGACATACGCTGTTGTTCAAGATATCGAAGAAGAGCTGAAAGAAAACTACTGCGAGAAGCTGGTGAAAATTTGGAACAGCCTTGTTCAGGAATCCGAAACAAATCGCTTAGTGAAAAGTCTGATCAAAAGTGGCAAAAGGGGCTCAGGAAAAATGAAAATTGTACGAGCTAAGAGCAGGAAAACGGCCAATCAATTTTTCCACACGCTTATACAAGCTAGAAGACAAGCGTCTCAAGAACACTGCTTTGAGATCATCAGAGATTATGGTGGATTTAATTTAAAGAGACTAATGACATCATCAAGCACTTTTTTTCAGAAGCTTCAGCCAAGAAAATGCCAGTTTCAATTTGAGTGCCCTTGCAGCGATCTTAAACTGCCTCCTGGGCGCCCGAAGTGTGGTAATTGCCAACACGTGCACAAGCCAATCACTCAGTATGAAGACTTACAGAATCTTGCGTGTGTCCTCATCCTTGTCGATAAAGGGCGCATGGGTGACACTTTTCCCGAAAGCTTTGATTGCCTGGATCTTCGCCTAAGCTACGATGAAGGTTCGCCTATAATTCTTTCCACTGTCATCCAAGAACTGGGAAGAATGTGCCGTTACGCAAAGCTATCTGCTGATGGATCCTTTGTTCAAAACGTTCCTTATGCGTTGGTTGGAGCGCAGTTGTTTAAAAGGCTTAAAATGTCTTTGGACACGTCCCCTGCAGTAAACGCCATTTCCTGTACCAGAGCCGATAGCTACATGAAAAACAGCAAAAGCAAACGCAAGGATTTCACTTCGCTTCGTTGGTTGGACTACGAAGCCGACAAAGAAAGCTATGATTACCAAAACAAGGACAAAGAAAACAACAAGCACTGTAACAGAATCCTTCTCCAGGCTGAACCCCAGATCGGAAAAACTGGAACCTACCTGTGCCTCATAAAACAACTACGACAGGACATCCTTGGAAAGGAAAACGTATCTTCAACCATGTCTCCTTCATTTGATGAGGGGAAGTTTTATCTGGTCAAGGAAAGCAATGATCCTGTTGCTCAACCACTGATGGGTGAGAAAAACGAAGCAGAAAACTGGAATTTTCCCTACTGGAAAACAATCCAGGAATCTCCAAGCCTTCTCCAAAAATCTGTGGGACCTGGAAAGTACTCAATTGGAGGGCTTTCCTACGCTCATGACATGGATCAAAGCCCTTTTATTCTCATGAAACGTGAAGGATCATCACAGCTAGCGAAGTCCGTTTATGATCATCAGGTTGACAACTGTCCATCTGGTGGGTTACGCGCTTGGCATTGGCACCACTTTGAGAACTGTGCCGAGTGCGGGAGATTCCTCGAAGGCAAAGAACCAGTGATAGAAACTGTTATGGTGAACATGGATGGTATGCCGGTGACTATAAAGTGTTCTGTACCAGCAAGCCGCCGTGCCTACAACTGCCTGTTGGAAAAGCTCATGAATAGCACATCAGCAGGAGAGGGTTGGACCGAAGACAGCCTGGCTTCAGCAATAAGAAGTGTTCCTTCTTCGTTGTATTGGATCTTTCATCCCTCCCATAGAGATGATCCTCGTAAATGCCTCTTGAATTACCACCACGCGCTGCAAAACGAAAACAAAGAGAAAACATTTTTTCAAGTCGCTGTTGTTCAAAGGGAAAAGTTTCAAGATTATGTTTCCACCTGGGGAAAGATGCTCGTCATTTTCCAGTTGCCAGATCAACTACCTATGGAAGGTGAAGATGAAAATGTCGGACCAAGTGAAGGAGGGATTGGATACGCCAGACGGTTTATCCAGAAAATGGCATTTGCCCTAAAGCTGGAGTATGTTTTCGTGATCGATGACAATGTAGCGTTAATGTCAGAAGCACAACTCAGCCCTGGTGAACCGGCGACTTGTAACGATGCAGTTGTCAGAAACGACAAAGGTGTTATGCGAATGCAACCATGCTCTTTCTGGAAGCCACTAAATTATCTCCAGAGGATAGTGCGTGGAAAGGATGAACCTCCTGATGTCCGAAAGCAATATGAGCCACATCCGTTGACAGAAGAGTTTGATCGTGATTTCCCGCTGTACAGATACACAGGACCCGCCAAGCTGTTCGGAGACAAGCAACATGAGAGTTATGGCGTTTTGGGTCTTCTTAGAAGTGTTCCAATCACAGTGAAGCCATTCGCTAAGACCCAAGTATACGCTGCTGTTTTGCTGAACGTCAAAAGCACAGTTGAGAAGAGAGTGTTGTACCGGCCATGGCCTTGCTGGGAAGACCTACGTTTTAACGATGACTGTGACAAAGAAGGTTTGTGGGTGGTAAAATGCAATCGTTTCCTCTTTCACAAAGTCCAGTACAATGACTGGATAAACAGCCTTGTCCTTCCAGGTATCTTCCAATGGACAGAAGATACTAAAGTGGAGAAACGACCTCCTGAAAGCACGCTGCCAATCAAATTGGAAGAGGGCATTATCCTTGAGCACCTTCGTGGCCTAGTTAACGGAAAGGGTTATGAGAAATGTTTTGATGGGGAGATTGGATACAGTGACACACAGGATAGCGACTCTCATATCTCTCCAATGCAATTGCTAGAACAGCTGAGAATAAAAAAGCACGCGAATTCTGCCCTGGCCATGCCAGTTCCAGTCCTTATTCTTGCTTACTCTGTTCTGGAACAAGAAATAGAAGACTTGTTAAAGCTGGAGAAGCTATATAGTCTTGCCGAAGAGAAGATAGTTTTCATCGTCAGTGCCCAAGAAGCAGAAGACGAATTGAAGAACAACATGACACTTGACTGCGTAGATAGGGGAATTTTAAAAACCAAGATTATGAGAAAAAGAAAGGCTAAATTTGACATATTTTCAGCAGCGGACCCCAGTCGACATCTTTTGCGGTGGATTGTGATCGAGGCATCGTTCAGGGCTGAAGACATTAGCCTATCAGATGCTACTGATACGCCTCAGGGCATCATTGGTGTTTCTGAAAAGAGTGTCAGCAAGAGATCAGTGGAAGTGATCGTCGACGGAGCAAAGGAACTCTCACCGCAGACAAGACCGTCGGAAAAGGAAGTCGGGGAAGACATGGTTGTTGATCCAAACACATTTGCTAATCAGCTGGAGTCTGAGCAGCACACAGTGGTTTCGTTTCTACCCAGCGCAGCAGGTAGCGGTAAACGGGTTACGGATCATAGTACTATACCTGTAACAAGTAAAAAGAAGAAGATCGAGACCGGCACTTGCAACTCTACCTATACAGAAACCGTGAGTCCTAAAATGCACGTGACTCTGGGTGAGAGTTCCGAGACCGAGCAAAAGGAGGCTCCTCCAGCAGTACAGCTAGGTCAATCGTCGACCAGGGAAGCCGCCAGGGGGGCAGAGACAGGGATTGTGAAATCTGAGCTACAAGAAGAAGTTGTATCATCTACACGTACTTTTTCTATTTCTGTTGAAAGGAAGGCACCCAAAGGAGCAAGTCAACGGGATGTGGAAAATGACGTTCCTCCTGCAAGTAAACGAACCAAAAGTCAGATTACAGGGCTCACTCCAGAAGACCCGGCATACATGCGAGGTACAAGCGAAGTTACACGATTGATAGTTGAGCTTTGGAGGGAAAAAATGAGGATCAAAGGCAACGAAGATATAGACCCCCAAAAGGTTAAAGATAACCTGAATAACTTCGGAACTGAAGACTTAGAAAGACTTGATGATGAAGGCTTCTCAGCTTTAACTAAAGCTTGTTCACTTCCTTCCATGAGTCCACGTATTGTAAGCTATCTTCTTAACAAGAAAATGGTGGACGTCAATTCTCAACTACCTGACTGGTTCAGAACGGGCGACAGAGAGGCCGCAAACTTAATTCCTTTAATGTCAGCCCTGTCTATGGCTTTACTGAGAGGGAATGTGAAATGCGTTTCGACCTTCATGCAGAGGAAAAGCGTGATTAAATTCGAAAGTAAAGACAAGAAAGGCAACACAGCTTTACATTATTGTCTGTCAACTCGAGAAGCATTCGAAAAGCTCTGGCCAAATTACGAGAAGATGAACTGGCGTGATATGAAAAATGACGAAGGAAGGAACCCCTGCGATGATGCTAAAGAGAAGTATGAGAAGTCCAGTTCTACGATAGTAACAAAGAGAAAGAAAGTTACCACAAACAAAACTCGAGAGGCTCTTGAATTCGCCATTAACAAAATGGACCCAGAATGGTTGAAAAATAGGTATGTTCTTTTTTTCTTAAATTACAGGATTTATCCTACTACATGAGAAATTTCTACAATTTGATTGGCCTAGAGCAGTGGTATTTCAGCTTAATTTGAAACACCCATATGTGAAAATTGCAGACCTTTTGCGGGAAGTAGTATAAACAAATAATAGCATGATTTGTACGTGAATTTCGAAACATCACTCGTGGTATTTATGCCAAATATCACTACAAATCGTACTATTACCTATACAAATTCTTAGCTAGATATATAGACTGAAGCACACCCTTATGACACAAATATAAAGATTACTTAGTCCTGTTTTAAACGTCGTGCTACTGCCGTGCTAAGCTGGCTCGACTGTAGCTCGACTGCAGCACGACACTAGCACGACTTGGTTTCAGACGTCGAATTTAATTCAGTCGAATAGAACGGCTGTTGCCGAAAACAAAACACAGTAATAAAAAAACGGTTCAGCAAACTTTTAAATGTATTCTAATGTGTTTGTAATTTATGAATTGAGTTGGGCACGTCGGTAGCACGAAGTTTGAAACCAAGTCGAGCTACTGCCGTGTAGCACAGCAGTAGCACGACTTGGTTTCAAACGTCGCGCTACCGCCGAGCTAAAGTCGAATTTAATTCGATCAATTGAGTTCGGCACGGCAGTAGTACGACCGAAACGGGCCTAAGTCATCTACAGTTTAAACCGGTAAGACCTGTTTCAAAGGTCGTGCTAGTGTCGTGCCGAGCTCAATTGATTGAATTTGACCTAAGCGCGTTTTAAACGATGTAGTCTTACTACTTTTGTACATCACGACAGCACAACTTTGTTTTGCTGAAACGTTAAGCCGTGCGAACTCAATTCATAAGTTCTAAATACGTTAGAGGACATTTGATAAGTTGGCGAAACTTCTTTTTGTGTTTTGGGCAATATTGGTATTTTATTCGACTGAATTAAATTTGATAAGTAGGTTTAGTATGACCGTCCGGGTAAACGTAGCCCTAAACAGGATAGGGTTTTTGTTGACAGTGACTAACGTTTCGACAACTTGTGCGGTAGTCATGTTCAGAGTCAAAGTGAGTTGTATCACGTCAGTCTGCCGATTGGTTGCTGACCTGATTAGTCAATGAAGGCGCGATGTTATTGGTCGTCTGTCAGTTAAGCCGCGATGTTAAATCCGACGTCTGAATCCAAGTCGTGCTTCAGTCGAGCCAGCTTAAAACACAGCGGTAGCACGACGTTTGAAAAGGCCTGAAATTGCGCTTGTTGCAAAGCGCCTGTTATCTCCCTATGTTAGATTTATTATCTGCTACGAACAAGAGTTGCGTCCAAATTTTTTTACTGTATCTGTATACCTGTAAGAAAACGAAAGAATTATTACCGAGTATTCGTTATGCGCCAGTACGAATTACATAATAACCAAGATATATAGTACGTGTGGTCTGATTGGCCGAGAAGTATGTTTGCATGATAGTATGTAGTTGTGGCGTCACCAACCACAGTTTGAAAAAAAATTATGCCCTTAAAACTCGGCAAGTTTATGCTTATATTACCTATTCTTTGAGATTTAAAGTTTGGACAATTTTTTCAAGCATACTGTATGAAAGATTTTTTTCGCTTAAGCTGACATTTTAAGGGAGAAAAATCTATATATTTAATGATTTATTTTTGCTAAACAAGAAATGATCACGCATACGACGTGGACGACACTTAGCGATTAATAAGAATTTCTCTTGTAATCAGCGTTAATAACAAGGTGTTCAACTTTTTTTCTCGGGAACGTTATTTTTTAACATCAATGGACCTTTTTGCTGTGTTTGCATATCTTCATAAAAACACTCAAAGGGTTGAGTTACGAAAGTTATGCAAAACCTCGACTTTATCCGCCTCGGATTTGCATAACTGTCTTAGAAAAAGTGATGAAAAGTTGGCGCCTTATTTCCAGATTGGAAAGTCAATACACCGCTTATTCGAGTTGTGCAATTTTATTTCACTCAGGCAAACTGGAGTTAAAGATTGAGAAGTTTAGACGTTAGACCTTTCCGGCCAGAACCTGTTCAAGCGACCATTTTCTCCACCTCTGAGCTTCAGCTTCCTATATCAGTACCTTTATGGCAGTCTTGGTTTGTTGCTGTGACAGAATTTCCTGTACTCCACCTGACTCTAGACATGTTAGGCCCCGTTTATATGGAGAAACGTTGTTCTAGTAAAGAGAGTCACCTTCCCAGCCCAGTCAACTTTATCAAGCGTTTATATGAGAACAAAGCTGACCCGCTGGCCAAGGCCAAAAGCGTTCGCGCATGCTATAACTAGGGGGTTTAAGCTGCGACGTTTTTGAGCCACGCACGTCAACGGGAAGTGTGCTTTGTGCCCTCTTGAACCGAGATTTTGAACAATGTTTTTTGTAGTAAATCGTCTTTAAGAGTACAAGAGTAAAAAACCGGTTGACGTGCGTCGCTAAAAAAAAAAAAACGCTGCTTAAACTCCATATTGTCTGGCCTTGAAGGAGTCAATCCGACTGAACGAGCCGAAGTGTTTGCATTGAGAGGTGACCCTTTATAAAAAATTATAGCCGAATCGTCCGTTTTTTCTTTCTCATGTGAACGGTTCACCACGTTTATTAAGGAAATGTAGGAAAAGTTGTCTCGCCCATGGTAACTCGGGTAGGTAAGTGACCCGGCTTGTACCCGGGCCAAGTTTTCTCCTTATAAAACGGTACTTTAGCTAGGCCCCGCATACCCTGCGAGCAGAGGTTTGTTAGCATTAACGTTATAGGTTATCTGTCGCGTAGTTGGTTTGTTAACGCCCCGTGTTGACTTCATAAACGCTAAAAGCCACGCAAGAGGGAAACCTCTGCTCCCAGGGTAAACCTCACAACACTGTGAGGGGTAAATGTCAGGGAGGTTAAAGACCTACGACGGTGATACAGCATTGGGTAGTTAAAGGAAACCTCCTCCATTATTTTTAAGACAATGACCTTGAACTCTTAAAATTGCAATTCATTTTATTAACAAATTGAAAGAAAAAGGGGGATATCAATACTAGCTGCTTTTGCTTTTTATAGTAACAACAAATTTAACCAAATGTCACCTTAGCAATTTAAGATGGCTGTGCCCATATTTACTATACCTATTTTCCTTAATCAGAAAAAGAAAAGGCCACATTCGATTTATCAAAATAATTTCGAGGCTGAAATTTTTGCCATTCCCCTTCTCGCCTCAAAGAAAACCAAGCAAAATATAGAAGTATGTGGAAAGCCTCCGGGTCTTCCACTCCGGGTCGAATGCTGACCATTGAAAAAGTCGTTAAAACTAATGGTCTAACTAAGTCTAGACGATAATTCAGCTTACTTTACGCAAGAGTTTAAATTACACGTCGAAAATTCAAAAGCAAAATCAGCTGATAGCTTTATCCATTTTCCATTACATCTTAATTTTCTTTCTCCTTCTTATAACAATTAAGAATTTCCTTGTGCCAATGTCACTTTGCTGTAATAGTCATGCCAGTCGCCTTTCTTGTTGGGTTCCCTGTTATCTTAAGCTACGTGCAAAAGGACGCAACAACTCCCAACATTGTTGGGCCAACAATGTCAGAAGATGTTGTGTTCGTGTTGGTGATGGTGTGCAAACGGATGCAACAACTCCCAACAATCTTCGGACCTGTAGTACATCGTGGGAAGGATACAACCCATGAGACTTTTTTAAACACTTTAATTCTTTCTTGGCGCGTGCGTGGCCCTAACAATGTTGGAAGAGCTGTGCAAACACTGTGCAAACGGATCCAACATTGTTGCGCTACGCCTCGACGATCACGGAACAAAAGAAATGTTGGGAGTTGTTCGCTCAAAAGTTTAACCCGTTTCAAACTTCGCGCTACAGCATGCAAAAGAGTGTGAAAACGGACGCAACATCTAACACCCAACAATGTTGCGTCCGTTTGCACGGGGCTATGCGGAGCTTGCTTGTTATTGTTGAAGAGTTTGTAAGATTTGTTAACATGCATTTTAATATTGTAACGTCTGCTAAGGTTGAGAGCTACAAATTGGGCACTAGCCCGCGAGCAAGCTCTCCTATTTGGGCAAGCGAAGCGAGCCTCGCGAGAACGCGCCCCACGCGGCTTCGCCGCTCGCGCGTTCTCGCGAGACTCGTTTCACTCGCCCAAATAGGAGAGCTTGCTCGCAGGCTAATTGGGCACCGGAAGTCGAGTTTGGTCCGTTCCGCGCCCTTTCCAGTCGTCAACTGATGTTCCGGTTCTGTTGCTTTCAGCTAAATCAGCTTAATTATATAGACCGCGATGACGTCATTACAACTACTACCGCGCTTCACGATTTTTCTTTCCTATTCCAAGGGAGGATTTTACAGTTTAAAAAAAGGAGGAAACGAAACGTCTGCTGTTTATATTTAAATGACGCCATCGTAAAAATTGTCCATCATGTTAGATTTGTAAAGGTTTTGAACTTTTTTGTGGTTTAGCAAGTATTATTAACAAAGAATCCATAATAGACACTTGGCATTTGTTAGGTTAACTTTAATTGTTGAATTGACCATGGAATGTTTCTTATATTCTCTAATACATTTTAATGTGGCTGTGGAACACTCGGTTGATCTAGCATAAAAAGCCCCAGACACAGTTGTATTTGTGCAGTTTCTTTTGCAAAGGTATCCTGGTCCCAGTGGTTTTTTTTTGAAATTTTTCTTCGCGAAAGAGAGAGTGAGCCGTCGCCGTCATTCGCGAAGAAAAATTTAACCAGTGAGTCAAGAATACGTTGTCTTTGTGAAAAGGCTAGATCTATTCCCCGTCAAAAAGTCTTTTTACGTTATGTTTTTTGTATTCAGTTTACACGCAAATGGTTTTACTTGTCCCTAGCGCTAGGATCTTCCTAGTTCTAACTAGGATCTTCTCAGCTGAGAGATAGGAAGTCCCTAGTACCAGGAGGATCTTAGAATCATGTAAACTGCCTTCGCTAGGACGATCCTAGTACTAGAGACAAACCAGACAAAAATGGCGGCGGGTCG